GACTATGAAAATTTGAGAGACGAGAGTGAAGGGTATAATAAGAATGTGAAGAATAGTTTAGAAAATAAAATTAAGCATTACTATTGACAATCACATTTAAAAATAGTTTTTAAATTATACACGCGTCAAATTAATTTGCTCGATTAATCTCGAATCTCTTTTTTCTCTTTTTACTTGTATTATAGAAGTCGTTTCCGCTCGAATAAAAAACCGAATTTTTCTATTGAAAACCAGTTAGTCACCCAAATCGACTCATTTACAACGTTCTGTGTCTCTCTTTCTCTCTCTCTGTGATAATAATTGGACGAAGCGAGAAAAAAAGCGAGATATTATGCGGCGATTTTCGACTTTGACACCAACGTTTTAATTCGAAAAAAACTGTCAACTGTCCGGCGAAGCAATTTTTTTTGGTCCCTTCTATTATGTAGCACTGGACTAGAGGTCTCCAAGACGCGGAAACAGCAGCTGAGAGCAGCAGCAGCAGCTACTCGATCCGTAGCCCACTTTTTTTTTGCTCAATGATTCAGTGTTATTATTAATCTCGGAGCGCTGTACGAGGATAAAAACGAGTTTTATCGTGTGTCAGAGAAAGAGAGAAAAAAATTTCCGAATAATCTTAATGAGTGTTTACCAATAAATCATGCACTGGACCCGAATAAGATAAGGGGGCCATGTATATTACATCTTCATGTGTAATAAGCATTGTAATTTGCATCAGCGGCGTAGAGAAAAATCGAAGAAAGAATTGAACGAGCGCGTTAAATTCTTGTCTTTGGATATAAATTACAATAATAATGCGCGCTGCACGATGACGACGACTCGAAGCGTAAACAAAGGCCCGATACAAAAGTAAAGAGCCCAGAGAGATGATATCGCAATCGCTTTCGCCCTCGGCAGCTCGACAGAGCTCGATAAGTTATAATATAATTTGACAGTGGTGTTTGACGCTAAAATTAAAAGAATTACATCAGCTGCCGGTCGATACGTAATAATTGCGTTGTGTATATCTCGTATCGATAGTCCGAGCCACTGTTGTTTTCCGTTATTACAATGGAATAAACGGCAACGATGATTTTATAATCTAACGCGGGGAAAATCCAACTCCGAAACACGCCAGCTATATTTTATTATTATTATTACGCGAAGAAGGTCGCTTTCGTCGCGATTAATTTGCTGCAGATGAGCAACGATGGGGGGGTATTACATAGGCTATATAGGGGGAGAGAGAGAGGCCAATCAGCCGGAATAATCCGTGTCTCTTGCGATGTGCATCGTCGTATCGTGGCTATACTGTATAACACAATATACGATATCACACGCGTCATTTAATTTCAATTCCCCGTTGCGGTATGTGTCTGTGCGAGAGCAGACAATGGCGCGATTGGCATAGAAGCCACTTTATACACATAAGCGCATCGTATGGGATGGTCCTCGAAATGTGCTCGTGTGTCCTTGTATGGGTATAGGCCCACTCCCGCGCTTACGCACTCTGTTAAACAAATAAAATGCACGACGACGAGTTTCGACCGAGAGTTCCCCCTGCTGCTGCGACTATAAGCACACGATGATTGTCGTGTGCGTCCGCGTATATTTACGTATATAAGCAACAAGCCCCGACGGATCAACCCTCCTTAGGCCCGTGGCACGCGCCATTACGCCTACGTAATACACCGTCTATGCACGACTGCGTGTATCAAGAGCTATATCGTGCACGAGTGCGAGATACCGTACTTAACGAATTAAAAGCTAATTCCATTGGAATCGGAATTGAAAAATTCAAAATTTTGCCCTTCTCGAAACGTTCGATCGACAATCAACTGAAAAACGAATGTAAGGCACGCCCACGATGGTATGGGCTCGCGAGACGAGTGTCGTGTGCGAACGTTCGAATTTTCGAAAAAAAAACGTTACTCTCTTACTAACACCACCGCACACGCATCGTGTGTCCGAAGTGTGAGAACAGTTGCAGTCGCGATTCGCGGAGGTCAAGTGGTAAACAAAAAATAACGACGACTATTACACCCGTAACCTCAATCTCGAGGTTCGCCTGTCTCGCCTCCGCCGGACGATCCGCATCGTCCGATTCCAAAGTGTCGCTTATAACAGTTATCGAGTTATGTCGCGAGTGATAGTAGTTCGATATCGAGTCTCTCGAGCAATATGTATAAAATAACGTTAACCTTGAACGACTGCTCCCGAAGCACGAGATGACGACGATGATTCCGTGACTGTGCAGTCCACGCGTAGTGCATCTCGTATTGGCAGGTATTCGAAACGACTCGCTGTTAACATAAAATTCATACGTCATTTGTGAGTTCAAAAATGCTTACCCTTGAGGCTCGCGCGGCATGTCGTTGCCGTTGCCCGTAACTCCCGGTTATTAATTTATTAAGCAAAATTACGAACCTTTTATCCTGTTATACATCGTCGCATTTCGTACCTGCACACCTTATCGGATCAAGATTCGAAGCTCATACTATGTATAGCGTCGTAAAGAATACGGCATGTATGCATATTCATACCGTATAAAATTTAAAACATCGGCGTTCGCATTGTCCACGATCTATCGAATACGCGTGCATTTCCTGCACTACCCAGACAACGACGACGACGACGACGACGACGGGTGACATCGAATTTCGGCCGAGAGATAATTAATATCGGCTCCCGTGGGCCGAATTATTGCAATAACTCGCGCCAACCGTCATAATTCGATGCAGTATATTTTATGATTCGAGATGGATGCGATAGATACACGCGCAACGGCCGTAACGATATTTCACGCAAATTTAGACAGATGCGCTCGAGACGTTCATTCGACGACGAGTCGTGCATCATCGTCGTCACACAGGTGACGACGATCTACTCCGCCGCTTCGTCCTCCTCACCTGCAGGTATACGTTCGCGTGATTTTATCAATTTTATTTTTCAATGTCGCGTAATGTAACGTATATTAATATATACACAGCAGCAGCACTCGAAGACACACGGCCCATTGTTGAGCTAACCCATAAATAATCGAGACGATACTTTCCCGTGAGTGAATTCGAAAACTGACTGTTTTTTTTTTTTTTTTTCAAACAGTCGAAAAACGGCTAATAGCGCGCGTCGCATCGTAAAAGCCGATTCACGCAGTAGTTGCGAACGGCAGGCCGGCCGACCGGTGCTGCCGGTGGCGCGAGGTTAAATTATTTATAAGCGTAGCGAAATAATGCGCGCATCGTCGTAATACGCATACATATAAATTTTACGTCCGCGCCCGTAAGTGCGTAAGGTGCATAAAGTTACGAGTGCGGACACGTGCCACAATGTATCGTTTTTCTTCTCGCTTTAAACAAATATACCCAAGCCGTAAGTGGCGAGACAAATTTTATTTTACTCTGCGTGTTGTTTGCAGCTTCGCACGACTGCGCGATTATCCCCGTTGGAAGCTAGAAATTTCGCGCTCGAGAGAGATAGACAGTTGCACGCTGCTGCTGCCACGGCAAAGAAGGGCTATATATATTCCTTTCTTTGCCACTTTATCGCCGCGGCAATTGGCCGGAACTCGCGCCAGGCGCTAACCCTTTTTCTTTTTCACCTTTTTGCGCTCTGCGTTTGTGCAGTGCTTCTGGCATTGTTCTTCGAACCTCGGCGTAGGTACACCTGCAATATACACGCGGCAATATTTTCTCGCGCGCCAATTCATCGTCGTGCGAGTCGTGTGGTAGTAGTTGTGAAACGCGCGTGCCTCAGATCCAAACACGTCGTTTTTACGAGTCTGCTGCTGCTGCAGCTCACGGCGGAGCGACGGATTTTTCGACGCGACATTCGATTTGCCTCGAACGCGAGTAGTCTCCGCCGTTTTGTGTGTATATATATAGCTCCGCTACCTATAAAAATTCATTGAAAACCACAATCATCCGGTGATGACCGGAGCAATTTCACTCCGTGGAATGGGAAAAAAGCCAAATAGCGTGTGGTGTATAGTAGCCCTGGCCTTGAGGCGAAAACGGAGGCACACGCGTAAATTCGAAATTCTCAAATCGCCTTCCTTTTACTTTTTTCTTTTGCCTGCGAATGCGCGCAATGTAACGAAAGCGTCCATTTTTTTTTATAAATGAAAAACTTGGACGATCGTTGTTCGGGACCGTCCCTCAAATTAGGGCTACGTCTCGGTCTGTTATTTTATTTATACTTCATTTTATATATTTCACGAGGCTACTGGTATTCTCGTTCCGAGAACTGATACCGACCGTATTTTCTCAATGTCTTCTTCTCATCTCGCATTAAGATTTTTATTACTGTTAAACATAGGATTTAGCTGGATTAAAATTTCAACCGACCCTCGTTAGTAGTTTTTTTCAAGTTCCGGAAGCAAAGCACGTAATGCTTGTAAAAACTTCGTTTTACTCTTGCCGGAAACTACGTAATTGTAGGTCTCGTAATATTTACCCGTATCGGAAAAGTTTTTCATACATTCCTTTCTTCAGGTAGCTCGTAAAAATGGAATCGTAATAATTATCTGCTATTTAAGCCTGTTCTATGTAGAATATAATTTAAAAAATCATTTTTATGATATTATGTCTCTCTTATTGAAACTGGTTATTTTTCTAAAGTTTTGGAAAAAATTATTTTTCTTCTATTTGTTCAAAAGTTATTATAAATCCTTTATAAGTTTCTTTAATATCCCGTAGACTCAAGTTCAAAGATTTCAAGTAGGAACCCAAATACAACATAATTGAAACCTTACCCATTAGCGAGATAACGTTTGCTTTGATTTGGAAAAAACAAGACGTTTTTTTTTAACTCTGCTGTTATTCAATTAGTCTTTAAAACAACATTCTTTATTCTTTATTTAATTCTATCTTTGGGTGAAGTCTTTTTTAAAATGAATTCAAATTCATATTATAAATAAAATATTTTATTAAAAAGGGCTTTACAGTTTTATATTACACACAAAAAATCTTTTTCAATTGTCAACAAAGTAAAATTTACAAAATAAAAATAAATTTCATGACTCTATAAATATTAGTAAATTTTTTACATACTAATATTGTACAAATATTATTGATGAAGCTGTTTGATAAAACTCATATAAAAAAAATTATGAGCCCATTGTTAATTTATAACCTAAACATGTTACCAAGTTATCAATATAAAATTACGATAATACATCTGGAAATATCTATATAATTTTAAATTTTATCTGCAATGCCCACATTGGGCATCTACTTCTCTAGAATTGAAAAACCTCATTTGACGACCACAGCTTGGACATGGATGATGAGAATCCTTTTCAGGTCCAAAATGCCATCTACTTCTATGAGATGATAGTTTACTTGGATTTTTGGCTACAAAAGCACATAAATTGCATGGATATGCTCTTCTACAAATATTTTCATGACGAACTGACTTTTTATATTCATCGTAAATTTTATCACAGTTTCCACATATATAAGTATTCTTGATATCAGTATCTCCATGTTTATCACGAATATGACGAATTATATTAGTTAATGTGTTGAATTTACTAGAACATATTCCACATTCATGAAGCAGGTTTTCTTGACAATCTGGGCAGTTTTTTAATTTCTTAGTTCGAATTGGAGATGTTTTTTTGCATTTGTAACAATATGTTTTAATGATATTCCTGCAATCTAAAAGATTAAAATGATTATTTGTATTTCAAGTGCTTCTTTCATGGTAAATGATTACAAAAATACCTACTCAAATCAATATAATTTTTCTGTTTATTCTCTGAATTAGTCATCTTACTTTCAATTTTCTGAGCTGAATCTCCTGAAAACATATGGTACATTATTGATAAAATAAATATTGTCTAATATTAAAAGAAATTATTTAAATTGATTTATGTGAAAATACATACCTGGTTTCCACAGAAATTCCATTTCCTCTACAGCATCTACAACTATCTCGTCTAAATTTTCATTAAGTATAGCAGAACCATTATCTGCTTCCAAAATATGATGATTCATGTGTACTTTTAAACTAATTCTATACGAAGTTTTGAAATTACAAAAATTACATTCTAAGTAAGGTTTTTTTCCACATGATAAAATGTGCTCTTCAACATTTGTTGAACGTTTAAAATGTCTTCCACAGTTAGGACATGATATTAATTCATTTATTCCACATGTATGTTTCTTTAACAAGTGATTTTTTAAAAAGCCTTTGTGTATACTAGTGTAAGAACAGTGAGAGCAATGTAAATCAATCATAGTGCGACAATCAAACCTTGTTTTTAGATGGCTAAAAACATGTGATTTGGTAGGGTATCTCCTTTTGCATATTATACACTCATACACAGCTTTTGAGGCACATTTTAGGCATGCTTTTGTTGCTTTATCTTTGTGGATACTAAAAATCTTGTTACATTTGGCACAGTATTGTTTTACATACAAAAATGGATCTGTAAGGTAGTTAGAATGTTCCTTTTGATTACTTTTAGTTGGGCTTTCTTCAAGACTTTGGTCATAACCTGTCATAATAAAAATATCTTGTAAGTATACAGTTATCAAATCCAATTTTCATGAACTAAACATGTAATATCATTCAATATGAAACAAATTACTTTCATTATCTGCTGTAAAACTGGTCTGATGTATTTCACCTACTTCTGACTTGGGTTCTATAAAATCTGTAAGTCAAAATTTAATTCACTCATATATTCATGTCATAACAAATAAATCAATATAAATCAAATGCATGCTATTTTACAATTAGCATAAATAATCTCATACTACTTGTTAAACTGTTTAAATAAATAAATCAGAAAAGCCACAAGTTTACACACCAGAAATAGAAAATGTTTCCATGTCGTCTCTCTCTTCTTTTATAGTTTGCAGATAAGGCATATTTTCTTGAATTGAATTATATTCTATAAAAGGAACAATTGAATTTAATTAATTCAAGAGTAAAAGTTACAAATGAGAAAGGTTTTTGGAAATGATAAAAGTATTATCAATTTAATTGTTATTAATAAAATAGATTCATTTTTGTTTTTGGAAACAAGGAAATTAATAATGCAATGTTATTAAAAACATCTATAAAAATATGAAAAATGAAAAATATTGTTACCTACCACTGTCTATTGGTGTTGTAATTAATTTGAGCCTGCTCATTTTCATTTATCTGTGCTCTCCAGAAAAATTTATTTATTTCTGAAAAAAGTAATTTTCAGATGAAAAATTGACAATAATTCAAGTAGAGCCATTAAAAAATACCAATTTCAACATAATCAAAGCAATTTTTCAGTTTAAAATCAATTGCAGAAAAGATTAGTCTTATTGTATGTATATCAGTATAATTACTCATAGACATCCAATCCTCATGGAAATTATTAAAATTTACAACAAGATATTTACTGACAATGCATAAATATTAATGGACAATCAAGTAACCTGAAATAAAATCTTTTCATATGTATTTCAGGGTTTAAAAATAGCAATAGTGAATAGTAAAATGAATTCAAAACTTTTTATGATGTATTTAAATAACTTCACTGATTTCATAATGTACCTGTTTTATAGGAAAATATGTTAACAAATGACAAAAGACAGGTTGCACTGTGTACTTTATATCATTTGTTTTTCACTGAGGCACTGACTACATTAAATGTAAACACTTGTGTCCATAACCCCACTAGTGAACTTTGAGTGAAAACTAAACTCAAATAAATATATTTAACCGTAGCTTATTTATTAAAAGTTAATTACTTATAAATTTATGAACAAAGAATTGTAATGTTTTGTTATTAATAAGATCAAAGATTAAATAAAAACAGAATAAAAGTCATTTAAGAACTGTTACCATACTTGCAAAGATAAACGTACGTATAACACGTCTGCTATGTCCCTTCTTTATCGACACTGCACAGCTGTTCGCGGACGATTTGTACACAAGCTTAAAAAATACTGATACACATAGATGTCATAAAAAATTTTATTCTTTTCTTTTGTGTTTTGGCTCTATGAGTATTTTTTAATTTTTAGTGCAAGCAGAGTTGAAAAAATACAAGATATCGCTTTTTATATAAATAGAAGGTTCGTATACTCCCATACTAAAACTCGTTTATTCCGCTTCTACATGCACAGACTCTGCACGCTCACATACTACACGTATAAAATACATTTTATTGATTTTTTGGAGCACCTGAATTGGTAGTCGTGGCTATTGAAAATAAAATTCTACATAAAAAAATGATAAATAAATTCCACGATGTTATGTGTCACAAATTTACATTGCAATATCTTCGTATCTGTCAATTTCATTCGATCAAAGCTCATAAAGGGGTGTAATATTCATGTTGAAATTGAAAAAAAAAACTTTTCCAAAATTTTTTACTAAATCAAAAATCCGCAAAAACGTAAACGGCACAGTTGAACATTTTCATTTCTATCCCCGCTCATCCCCTCGACGTTTCGCTCAAGCTTACGAGAACGTCGTCAAATTCGCCATCTCAGAAAATCTCTGATGCTTCGCAAATGCATCGTGAAAAATTTTTTACGACGCAAAAATTACGCTCAAAAAAATAACTCTAGCGCACGTAGACGCGTACTCACGGAAAAATGGGTTCTCGCATCAAATGATTTTGGCCTTACGCACATATTATAGAGCCTACGTTTCGCAAATCGTACAAGTAATACCGTATAGCCGTGTATCCGCAGCTCGGAACGAAACGTTGAAAAGAGCACACCAGCAGCAGGCAGTAAAATGTACGTTAGGCAAATATGTATGTATAGCTCTAGTGGTGGCACGACGCGCGACGCGTGCGGGAGGGCAAAACTCCGGCGTCTTTACGATCTTGCAAACGCGGATTGGCATTCTGCGCGCGCGTGTGCGTGAGAGGGATAAAATTGCTCGGCGCAGAGGACCCTCGTCGTCGTCGTCGTCTTCTCTTGCAAGCTCCGTACCGTGCTCGGAGAGTACTTCGCGCAATGGATTCCATTTTCTCAAATATTCTCGCTGCAAAAGTATTATAATAGGAGAGACCTCGGCGCGCGCGGACGAGCGCTCGTAAAGCGTATTATATCGCGTTCGCGCGCGAGCACGAGCCCCCTCCGATCGCACTCGATCTTTTTTTTTTTTTTTTTTTTACGAGCGGAACAAAGTGGCAAACATTTATATCGACTCTCTGCTACTGGGTACGATGTTTTGACGAGGTACAAAATACCCAATACTGCGCGCTTTCTTCTACGGTGTGTATTTTTCCCAAATTCGCGATGTTGAATTTTTTTATTTTACTTTCGAATCCGCAGCTTCGTAGCGATTAACGAAAGGAATGCAGTTTGAACTTTTAGTTACGTGAGAACGAATTTCAACCCATTGACGACGAAAAAGGTTGATTTTTATTTCGTGTTTTTGTGCATTATGCCATTGTTGTTTATAACTCTTATCCCGAATGTTATCTTCGTGAGTTTTGTCACATCTTCACAAGTACATTGCATTGCATGTTAAACAATAAACATTCATAGAGGCTTCTGTCAGTGTCAGATACCCGTGTATTGTCACGACCTGACAATAGATGGCGTTTCCATGATACCCGCAAGCGACTAAATTTCATTGACGCTTACTATATATAGAAAATAGAATGTCTTATTTTCGAAATCAGTCTAATCTCGCAGGGAAGATGATGCCATGCACCAATCGCAAAGCTCTTCGTAAATTTTTATCCATTCGATGATTTGACGACGACGATCGTCATATCGAATCAAAAACCCGCATAGGCATTACAACGTATTACAATTACCTGTCGGAGATTAGACTGATTTTTTATTGCACTTTGTAACGAAATGATGGAAATGACTTGGTTAACAAATTAATTTTTTTATTAATTTTTTTATGGATTTTTCCCCGGATAAAAATTCTTTGAAGGATATTCGAATCAAGAACTTCGAGGTTTGAACTCTTGTACGTATAGATCACTGAGTCATGATACATGAGGCATTGAAGAATTTCTTTGTCATCTTAAAAGTATACAATTAATTCATTAATTCAACGCGCTTCTGGCTCCTACCGATTATACGACGGATATTTTCCGAGTACAAGCGATTGGAAATAAAAAAAACGCGCTAACTTTGCAATTTTCAATCGTGTTTAGCATGATAAAACGATGTTTTCGATGCTGCCATCGTTTTTTATTAATCTTTAAACATCTTTCTATCAAGACTCATCGATTTTTCTCGTTTTTTTTTAATGACAAAGTAATTTTACCGAGGACGATTCCGCTGCCGAACGATCGAGCCGGAAATTTCAAAAGTTTCTATTTTTTTTTTTTTTTAATCGATTAAAACAAATAATTAAAAACGTGAATATCTCGTGGTAAACTTACAAGAGGAATGACGCAAAAATGTTCCATTTTTCTATTTTTCCGGCATTTGCGAGTATGACTATTTACTTCTATGCTCACGTTCCAATTAATTTTAAGCGCGGTTTTATCATAGTGTATTTCAAATCGCTCTGCTATATACATGGCATTTTAGTTTCATACAAACAAAAAAGTATATAGGGTAAAAACCCCTATTACTGTGCTCAGACATAACAGATAGGTTAACTGATTGCTTTTTTTTTTGTTTTAACTGATAATGCATTTTAAAATTGTTAATAGTGCTTTCATTAAACTGAAAAAATAATTTGTCACACAGAGATAAGGTTTGGACCATTGGGAATTTTAAATAAATTTCTTTGTTTATTGTTGGTATTATAAAAAATATATTATTTATCTTTAAAATTACACAATGCATCTCAAAAATTCATTGATTTTTTGAGGCCTAAAACAACGGAACAAATCGCTTTGAAAGTCAACTTTTTCGTCGTTAATGGTTTAATTGAACTATTTCAAATTAAATTTTGAACCTCTGTACAGATCTGAAAGGATGTAATTTTTCGGTATTTCCTATTTCAATGTACTCTATAAAGGAAAGTACGTAATTAACAATCATTTTTTGGTTAATTTACGATTGACGCGAATACAGCCCATATAGGCACGCATTCGGTAATGACGCTTCATAACACACCTTGTTCGACTTATGAATGTCATAAAAATTTTTTTACCTGCCGCACGAAATTTCCCAGCCTGTATCAAACCCGCGCGCGCGATATAAAACAAAGTCGATGAAAAAGAAAACAGTTTCAAAAGAGCCACCGCGCGCGTATTCAATGTTTCGGGCGAAAAAGGAGCATGAAATTTTACGACTTTTCGAAGAAAGGAGCAGCAGCGGCAGCGCGCGAGAATGACGAGACACACGCGGAGAGTTTTTTCTCTCCTCTTCTTCTTCGTCTTTTCGAGAGTCTGTAACCCGAGATTGAATGACCAAACGGCCTGCTGCTGCTGCTGCTGCTGCTGCTGCTGCTGCTGCTGATTTCGTATACGCGTATGTATACATACGAGAGAGCCGATCTTTGGCACTAATTCGAACAATTAAGTGAATACTTTAGGACCACCTGTCGCGAGGATCATACACGCATGTCGTGTATTTTTCGCGCGCGAGCGAGGTTCAATCACATTTCGAGGCTGATTATAAATGCTGAGACTTTTACTGGCTTGTTGAGATTTTTAAATTGATAAAGTGTTTTGACGTGTATGAAAATTTAGTTTAAATCTGGCGAGGCGTCACAAATTTTCTCTTAATAATCCACTGATTTTTATTATCCCCTTCGCACCGGCCAATTATCCGATGCGGTACGAATTCAAATTACGTACGCCGCTTGCAATGATTTTTTTGCGATAGTTTGTTTCTTATTTAACTGTCAATGTTGTACGTATAAAAAATCGATTAAAATACTATTTGTGTAGCAGATAATTTTTAAAAACTACGATACCACAACATTCCAAAAATTCTTCAGCGTTATAAATCAGACCAATACATAATAGTAAAACTGATTGCTCGAGAACTTTTGATGGATGAGACTTTTTTCAGTGAATAACGTGACAACTACATGATTTTATTAAAAGCGTGCGAAATTTTAGAGATGAATGATATTCGCATGCGAGTTGAAATTTTTCCATCACAGGCGTATTGAGGCATAAGTGTATACGTCTTTTTATTTTCAATGAAAAAAGTTTTCGACGATAGATTGTAACTTGTCGTTGAAAAGTTTTGTATGTACAAAAGATCGATTAAATTTTAGTTTTGAAAATCGTATTTTTTAAATAATAGTATCATATTTTTACCATACATTTTTTCGTCAAACAATTAAAATAGTATTCTTTTTTATATGGTTTCAGTTCTGGTTGCAACTCCGCAAGTAGTTTCGCTTAACTGCAGCATAAGAAAATGATATAACATCTACTATTCTAATGTAAGTAAGCTAATGACCTTGTCTGCTTAAATGTAATTTAGGTGAGTTTGAAAAAATTACTTTATCATTCAAAAAACATTTCACAATTAATTAAAAATATGAATTTAATCGACGATTTTATGTTATAATTCATATTAACTAGCAAATAAATCTTGATAATTACTTTATGCTAGATTTATTTTAGTAGATACTTTTGTATTCGAACTTTATTGATTTTTTTTTTATGTTGCTTCTGAAAATATTTCTCTTGTGTCAGGAAAACGGGTTTGACGATAGAAACTATGGAAAAACAATTTATGAACGTTTGAAAATAAGATCTTAAAACAGTCTATTGTTTATTTTCAGATTAGTCATAATCCGTTATTTGGTTTTTTTTATTTAATTAGACAAGTAAAGTAAAACGACTTTTTATAACCAATCTGAAAATTACTTATAGAAGTAAGAAAGCATATACTCAAGAGCCCATGACTTGTTGAAAGAACGAAACAATATAACATAGACACACACACACACACACACACA